TATTCCTTTCTTGTACAAAGCACCCTCCATAGCTATCTTTCCTTGTAAAATTTGGAGCCTGATCAAAGTATTTGGCAACATTGCAAAAAGGAAAAGGGAACAACCCACTTGTTGAACCCACAAGTGAGACCACAACAAGTAGTCTCCTTGGGGTTTTTGAAAAGAACCCCTCCCACTGTGCACCCCTGCACGTGCACACACCCAACCAAATAGCCCCAGTTCCACCCATTACCCCCCTTCCTCCACTTTTTGTGTTGTGGCACAGCCCCAAGATGGTATACCTAGAATTCAGAACATATTCCCCTCCCCCTTCCACACAAAACTCCTGGTAGTCAACACAAACAATGCATTCCCACAATACCGCTTCTAGGTTTCCTTCCCTTAAAAAAAAAATCCCCTCAGCCTCCCCTTTGAGAGTGCTCAAAGATCCTTTGTTTCAACCCAATCCCTTCCCATGCAGAATTTTTCCTGAGGCAATACAGGCTTTGAACACTCAAAGAACCTCCAATGCCTCACCTCAGTTGCAATACCTTATCCCCCCTCCCTTCAAGATTTAAACACCCCAGCATTTTCCTTTAGAATTTTCTAGACACTTCAGATCCCATCCAAAAAACTAGTGCAAGCCTTCCCCCAACTCGTGGCTGGAAGCAGCACTGTCCCAACTTCCCAGGGCACTCTGAACTCTGCACATGCTCAGAGGCTCTTGTGTGTGCGCTCCCTCTGCAGCACTCACAAAATGGTGGTACCTTCTGCCAGAGCATTCCTCTTTCTTGGCTGTGTGGATCCCACAGTCAAGAAGTCCATAGTTTCCAGCACACATTTCCCTGAATTCAGTTGGCCAGACCAAATCCAGAAAAAGCTGCAGTTGCTGTCTCTTAAATAATGGAGTGCTCTTCAGCAAATGAGGTACACCAACCCTCTTCTTCTTCTTTTTGCTTTTGCCTTCTTTTCTTTACCCAAATGAAAAGTGTGTACCATGGTGCCCTGCAACAGCAGGGGTCTGAACCCGATGGCCTTTGTGGCCCCTCCCAACTCCTCCATTTTGCGCTTCCATGAAAAACTTTAGCAGTTTCATTTTTTACACGTTTTTCCCATTTTGTACCAAAACACTCAACATTTATCCAAAACTCTTAAAAAGCCCACTCACACATCAAGCTCCATGCCCCCCCTTTTTAAAAGCAAGGAATTTCTGCCAAATACATCACCTCACATACTCGCATCCTCACATGGCCTTCAGCACAATTTTCCTTTTGTCCTTTATGCCCCACGTACCAAACAATTAAATGTTCAACAGGCAGAGAAACCAAATCAGCCCAGAGAAAACCAAGAACCTATTTACTACCTGCCTGACAAGGTGGACTTCCAACAGGAGTCCTTATGTGAGAGGGAAACTGCAAGGCCTAAATAGGGCCTGCAATCCCCCCTCCCTCCTTTCGCTGCCTCCATGTGCAATCTTCACTCTTTGAACTCCAGCCTGCCACTGTTCAGTGCTTGCTAAACACAACCATCCAATTTCCACTCTTTTTCCCAAAGCCTCTTCAACACAAAAGAAAACCCTTCCCTTCTGCATCTTTGCTTCAGTTTTCCTTCCTTTTCCTTTTCTTTCTCTGGGAATCCCTTCAGGATAAGCAGGATTCCCCCCTCCCTTTTCTTTCATTGCCACAATCCATCTGTTCACTTGCCTCTACTTTCTACTTGCAACATCTATAAAATCCCAATCCAAACCATGAAATTACAACCCCCTTCCACTAGTGCAAAACCACAGCACACAGTGCTTTCCCTTTGCATGTTTTCTCCTAAACAAATCCTCTTCCTTCTTTCCTACCATGCCTTTCTTCACAAACCGATACTCCAGCAATATCTGATGGGCTGGATTTCCTGAATCCATTTCCCCTTTAGCCTCTCCAGCCCCTCAGATGCAGTTTTCACCTTTCTTGGTTCAAAGTACAATTCTTAATTCTAGTTCCTTCTCCAAAAACAATCTGCTAACCTCACCTCAACTTGTACCTCCAGAGAGTTTGAGTAGTTCTTTCCTGAAAGGCCCCACACTTTAGGCCCAATCTGCAAGAACTCCCTATTAACCATGACTAACAACAGCCTCAACAGTTATACCGCCCCCCCCTCCCCGTTTATTTAGGCGGGATTCCCATCAAACACACATACAAATACACAGTAGTTTTCTGTTTTTCCTTTTCCAGTCACCCCAACACAAAAGCTATCCCAGAACCTCAAAATCCTCCCCAGGAATTTTCAAGGAAAGCATCTTTCCTTGGCTCCTTTACCCCTGTAGAAACAGAACGGGTCAGGAAGCGCCTCCTGGGCCATCCAGCCTGACCCCCTCTTTTTTGAATACTTTACTCCCCATTCCCTTTCCCTCGGGTGAGAAATAAAGATTCCTTACCTAAACTTAGATGCCTCTTATCAGGTTTACTCTACCTGAGTAAACCCCCGTGAATTCTAGAAGTCTCTGCTGCCGGATTTTCAATTAGTCTCAGGCCTCCAATCGCCCTCGTTTCGGCCTAAGAGTCACTTGCAGGACTGCCGCAATTCGTGGCAGGGTGAACCTTTCCTTCAGTAATTCACCAATCCCAACCGACGATGGATTTAGGAGATATACCTGTTCTCCCCTGCAGAGGAAGGCAGGACGCACTCCAACGGAGCAAAGTTCAGGGAACCAAGGTTCCAAGATACCAGGAAGCACTTCCTAACAGTTAGGATGCTGAGGGTGTGGAATGGGCTTCCACTGGAGGTGGTTGAGGCCCCATCGGTGAGGGTGTTCAAAGATAGGCTGGACATGCACATGGTGGGCATGTCGTGAGCGGAGCCGGCTAGTACCAGAGGTCAGACTAGATGGCCCAGGAGGTCCCTTCTGACTCGTTGTTTCTATGTTTCTATATGCCGGACGAGCCCACATATTATGATCACTCTTTCCTTTCCATCAGAAGAGAAAAATATTCCAAGCATGCGGAGAGTTCTTTTTAAAACTCTATTACAATGAAGGAAACAGAAAAAAATGGTTTCTTTCCCATTCGTCTGTTCACCTGAGGACATGCTCGCACCCCCCCCCCCTTTGAACCCTGCTCCCGGTCGCTTCTTCCCTCCTCCTTTCCCCAAATTGGCTGGGGTACCGGGAGTCTACAATCTTTCCGCACGCCTTCTCCGCGCTGTTCCAACACCGGCTCTTCCCAATCCAGCCCTGCCCCCAGTGGGCTACAGTAGGCTAATTTTGTTCTGCCAAGCTTGTCAACAAACAATCAGGAAGTATTTGGCCCCTTCTTGCCTACGTGCCTGTTTCCCCATACCTTGTGCTATCTGATTGTAGCCCCTCCCCTCCCCTTCAGTCAAATCAATGTGTTCTTTGCTCAAACTTATGCTACTGGTGCAAAGTCTTCTAAATGGGCTTGATTATAAATTAGAACCATGTTGAAACAGTCTTTTTCATTTCAGTCTTGCATTTGTTACTGCTGAAGTGTTTCTGGTATGCTCTCAACTACCCCCTTGAAATGTTGCCTGTTCTCTCATCCAAGTTCTGGGCATGCTAGGAGAGAATAGGTCAAAGCTTTCAAAGACTGACTTTAAGGCCTCTGGGAATTGTGCAGTGGCTGGCCGTTGTCTGATTAAATTCAAAGGAAGCCAATGCCCCAGCTGGCTAAAGGTTAGTCAGAGTCCCTTTTAATGCTCTCTTGGGCTTTTAACTCCAAGCACTGGAAGTTTCCTGAGCTGTGCCCTATGGACAATATAGTTTAGCACTGCATGGTTCCTTGGAATCTTCAAAATGAGCCTGTGGGGGATTTTGCAATGTTCTGTCTGAGCTGTGATTAGTTTCCAGGACTTGGACAGAAATCAGAGAAACATGTTGGATTTCCATATACTTTCCTAAGCTATTCAATTAAAGATCCACCCACATGCTAAGACTATGGATTTAAATATACAAACCAACTTGTATATGCAGGTTTAGTTGCATCCACTTGCAGAAGAAAGTTTATCAACTAGTTCCCCCTCCCACAAATCCAGCTCTATAACATGTGTTCCTGAAAGCTCCAACCGATGACTTTCCATTTTTTGTCTAATATTCTTAATTCCTTGTTGTGGGTCCATGAATGCTCAAGCATGTAAGTTCTGTGCGCAGAAAGGCACTCACTTGCCTGACCTTCAGGTTCATACATTACCCTACAAGAATCAGAATGTTTAATGTTAATCAAGGCCTATACACTTACTTTTGTGTGCTCCATTCATTGCAAAAAGGGGCGGGGCACTCCTGTACCTCCACAGCAAATGGAACCTGTGTATACTTTAATGCAAAAAGTCACATTGCAAGCTGTTTGGACTCTTTGTACTGCCAATTTTAGCTGGGCCCTGAAATCTTTGATCCACAGATTATGGCTTGAAATTTGAAAGTAAGCCACCAGCCCCTTAAAACAGATGGCAGAATATTGAGTATTCAAGGTTCCAGGGCAGTTGAACTACACAATTAAATGGTTGCTATAAATCAGAGCGGCTAGCCAGAGGTCAAGGTCAGTTTCAAAGAAATCCAGTTGAAGAGGTTGAATCCAAAAATGGACATTTCATTAGCCCCATCAAACTTACCATGCCAGCCATGTTAAAGAGTTTACCTGGGTGTGGCATTAGTTTCTGGTCCTGGGAAAGGGATTAGATGGAGGAAAAGGTCTGCTGAAAGATTTGCATAAAACATTTTGGAAGCCATTTATTTTAAAGTGAGTATATAAAAGAAAATATACAAGTAGAGCTTTTCACTATATATTTGGATCATTGTGATACAGTATCATTGGAAAGGGTATGTTGTGATATGAGATGTGTCATGTGGATTGAACAGCACAAAGATACTGTATGCACACTTAATGTGTTCATTTCCCAGGAAAAACCCTCAAAACAAAGATGCCTTAATTCTAAGTTCTGGTAAATGTTTCTGTTGTCAGAGGGCTATCTTTACAGTGGAACAGCAGGGATCATGTAGCAAGTATTTTTACTGTTTCGTCTAGACTGAAAGAGAGCATGCTAAATTTGCTTGTTGGGACCTCTCCAATCAAGAGGTTTTTGCTCGAATACAAGAAGTAGTGAATGCTCGTTTTCAAGCTATTGAACAAGAGTTTAAAAATGCAGATTGCACGAAAGCACAAGTTGTATCAAAAGAAGTCTTCAGAGATATCTGCAACCGGCGTTTTTTACTTCTGACTGATGAACAGGTAAGAAAAACTGAACAGGGGACTTGTTCTTCAGGCTCTGATAGTGCATTTTCATTGGTAGAGATAAAATATCACAAAGAGGAATATCAATAAGGGGGTCATGTTACAGATGGGTGTTAAAAGTTAACATGGAGGAGGCAACCATGTCATTTCTATGTTCTTGCTCTGTTGACTGTTCTACTTCTGGCCAGTAGCAAGTGGAACTTGATACTATCCCACAAAAATCCAGTGTGGGAGGATAGCAGAAGGAACAAGTGAGGGTTAGGCCATGCATGTGTCTTCTTAGCCTTACATGTTCAAGAACTGTTTCTCAAACCTTTCATAGCAAAGATGCCTTTTTCCCCACTTAATTAAAACCAAGAAATGCTCATTTTTCAAATGTGTCGGAGTAAGGAGGACCAGGCCCAAAAGGGGCCAACCCGCAGTGTGTCTGCATTAGTTGCTTCTGTGGAAGTGTTGCCTCCTGACTGCAATGATGCTGATATGCAGATACAGCCTCTCTCTCTGAGCACAGGTGATTATGATGCATCTGTGCCTCTGGGTTGAGTGAATGATACCATCGTGCCTGTTATCCTGTTGAGGCAGAAAGACAACTCCAAATTAGCCCAGTAGAGATAGAGTAGAAGATAGACCAGAACAATAATTCGAGCAGGTATAGCACAAAGCCTCCTCTGTGGGTGGGTACCCATGTCGTCTTTAATTTGCTTATTCCTTGTGGCACACTAGTGAGTCTCTCTGGAACCCCAGTACACAATCTGAAAATTAATATTGTACATACATATGTCACCAGTGCAGCAAGAACCCTAAAGATATGGAACTATTTCCCCTGTTGCAACTGATCCTTAAAGGTAACAGCCATTACTGAAACTTTATATACCATCAAGGAATCAATTAATTTATGTTAATAGTAGCTGAGTCTAATTCATTGCTTTTAATGGGACTTAGTTGCAGCTGCCTTGTCCTGTATCATGGATACATTTTTCTGCTTCATCTTCCCTACTAAACACTAATATTGTACACAGTTTGCACACTGACAGGCTTCAACTAGTAGTTAAAAATACTCTCAGCTAACCTACTGCACATAGCTCTTATAATATTTAATTGATGCTTGTAAAACATTTTGGGATCCTCTGATGGAGTGCAAAGTGTGTTTTGTTCTGTATAATTTATAATATGGTAGCAGCCTGGCCAATGGGGGAAAGTTGAAAGGAAATTCAAAATGTAGTTCTGGCCTTTGATGTTAACTGCAACTTGCCACATGCAAATCAAAGCCTTAGAGGTGGTGAGCTTTCTTCAAGGCCTAATTTTGTGTTTTGTCAGGGAGGGTTATTTAGAGGAAAATCAAAGTTTACAGATTGTCTGTTTGAAATCTGGAACAAATAACACACTCCATTGATGATGACATTTTCATGTATGCATACCTTTAATAATGACACCCAAACAGCCTGATCCTGGAGTACTTTTCATTAATGCAGCTTCACATGGAAATATCCCAGAGTCAACACAAATGTATAACTGGGCCTCTCGTGCTCTGTTGCAGGCACAGCAGCAGCTTCTCCCTACAGTTCTCTTTATACAGCACAGGGGTTCTGTTCAACATTATTTGAGAAAGACAGCAAGTGTGATGGCAGAGCCCATTACATGGTGGCTATAGATGCCTTCAGCCTTGGATCCTAACGATCACTAGAGCAGTGGTGGCGAACCTATGGCACATGTGCCACAGCGGGCACGCAGAGCCCTCTCTGTCGGCATGTGAGCCAAGTTGCCCCAGCATCGCCCCAGCAGCCAAGCATCAGATAACACAGGGGCCATGCTCATGCTCGGAAAGTAGTAGTGGCACCAGGCAATGATGTCATGAGCCGTGACTCAGCCGCAACTCATCTGAGCTTTTGCATGGCTGTCAGTGCACTGCCAAGGACACACACACACACACACACATTTGCTTGGACTAGCTGTGAGTTTTAATACATTCATTTTTTTAACAAGAGTTTGGGGTATCAGCAAAGATCACATTAATTGCGCAAAAGTACACCAAATGCAAGCCTTTACCTTTCAATTAAAAGGTGTTTGTAGCATGGAAAGCTCTATTATTGTGTTTTTTTTTAAGACAAAAGATGTTAAGGTATGAGTTGTTTTTTTCTAAACTGAAACCTCAGTATTCAGGTTTTATTGCAGTGTTGGCACTTTGCAATAAATACGTGGGTTTTGGGTTGCAGTTTGGGCACTCAGTCTCTAAAAGGTTTGCCATCACTGCCCTAGGGGCTTCTCTACCTGCACACACGTATCCACAATATTATGATCAACATGGTAATTTTTTTTGTAGAAAGTTAAACAGCACGGGTGGAATTTGCATGCAACCATACTTAGGTGCCATCACCTCAAGGAAGTCACAGCTTGACAAGTCAGAGACTCGTCTTCTGTCACAGTGGCCTCTCCTGCTTTAAGCAGGGCTCTCTGAAATCTGGGATTTCATGGAAGCACAGGCAAAGCACAGAAAGTGCCACTGAGTACAAACTTCAGCTTCCTAGCAGCATTTCCCCTCATTTCAACAGAACCTTCTAGCCAGTGCAGATGATGGACATTTCTTGTGAAAGGCCTGTTGTAATCTCAGAAACTAGAAAAAAAGGCTGATAAAAGTTTTCAGTGACTGGGAGGAGCATTTATTCCTTGCAATGCTCCTTTCTGCTCCTCATGGTTAGCGGAATGAAAATACGTTATACAAAGTAGTAAAAAAAGAAAACTATATAAATTAGCATAAAGTAAAAGGAATTATGTAGTTTTGTTCAGCTTGTTATGTGGAAACAGTCATGACCCCAAGCAATTTACAGTAACCTGGATGTAGTGGCCATGTTGTGACCAGGTGTATACTCAGCATCTATTGAATTCTCTCTCTGGATCCAACACAGATCTACTGTTTAGGGGTGTATTTTGGCCCTGGTGTAAAATTACTGAACCAAATTTACTGCCTGGAAAATCTGTCTGATTTGTGGTGATACCATTGGCAATTTTTGGATTAGCATAGGACCTTATCCTTAGTCATACATGGAAAAGCAAGCCTTTATTTTTATAGCAATGGACATTTATTTATTATATTGATACCCAGCCTTTTTCTTGCAAGGAATTCAAGGCATCTTACAAAATCCCCCTCCTCTCAATTTTATCTTTATGACAATTCTGTGAGGTAGTTTAGGTTGAGGGTCAGTGTCTGTTCCAAAGTTACCCAGCAAGCTTCATGGCTGAGTGGAGGCTAAAACCTAGGATCGCCAAGTTCCAGTCCAACATGCTAATCACTGTGCCACACCAGCTCTCAATTTATAAATGAAAGTGATAGCATCAGCCGTTATAATGCAATTCATCTCATCACTCTGGCTCTTTGCACGACTAACGTCTTGAAATGGCTCCAGACAGATTTAGCTCCATTTGAAGCAACCTAGCAATAAGCCTTCTCCCATTTTTCTATCACTTTTAGACAACCCCTTTGTACCTGCTATTCTTCATATTTGTGGTAAGCATAATCAATCTCTTTATCTCATGGGCCAAAAATTCAACCTTGGAGCAGCTTTCATGGGCTGCGCTCCAGTCATGGGTGGGCCCAAAGGCAATGCCACCAATAGTCCCTTTTCACTTAATGCTTTTAACACAAGCCACCATGCCTTAAAGGGGGCATTTCAGCCTTTAAAACAGGGACACACACTACAAAAGCTGAAAAACCACTTAGCATTGTTTGGAGGAAAGGAGGTGAGGCCAGGGGAAGGGGTGTGACCCTCTGGGGAGCTGTGGAGGGCTGGATTTGGCTCCTGAGCCTGTGGTTCTGCACTCCTCAGCTATGGTAACATCAGGGGACAGAGCCAGTGCTTCACTTTGGAATATGTGATGTAAGAAAAGGTCAGTATGTCATAAAACACAAGAACAGTCATTCTGAATCAGAATGAAGCTTCACTTTGTCCACTGTTCTGTTCAGGTTCCTCAATAGGTTCTGCGGGCATATCTTTCATCTCTTTGTAGTGACAGAAAGCACTGTGTAGTGACAGAAATGCAGGGCTTCCAATTGATAGAGTTACATTTCCAGATGAACAGACTCTTACCTTGGTGAGAGGCAACTACTTTGCTCGTGTATAATTTGTTTTACTTTGCGTCACAAATGCCAAAAGTTGTTCTCTGTTTGACTAGTTTGAGAATCTCTGGAACACAGTACCTCTTGATCTGAGTGGGAAATTGAAATATCCTGGATTTTTGCGGATGTTCACCTCTGAAGGAGGAGAAATGCCAAATATACCTGGTGTGGGCTGCTCAAATGGTCCCAGCAAACCTACCACACCAGCTGTGCCTGGATCTTGTCCACCTTCACGACCCAAAACAGCATCCATGCCATCATCTACAAAGAAAGTAAGTGCTTTATAGCCAAAGTCCCTCCTCTGCTATGGCATAATATGAGTAGTTCAACCTCCATTCCTTTATTTTACGTATGCCATTTGTATCTCTTCCTTCTTCAGGGGATGGATTTCAGGTCTTCCTGTTTTGCTTTCACAGCAACTCTCAGGGCTGTCCCAAAACATTTTACTCCCTGAAGCAAGGATAATGCCTCCCTGTCTCCATATATAGAAGCCAATCCAATTGGCAGTTCCATCTTATTTGACATTGTTGATCGGACAATGTCCTTTCGTGCTGAGGGCTGCAGGCTAGCTTAGGGAACACACTTGGGTGGTGGGAGGCTGCCGTCATTCACCCCATACCACCATATTTGCCACTGGAGCAGCTGCCTCACTCAACCTGATAGTACCACTGGCCGTGGCAGCCCTGCAAGGTAGGTAAAGGTGAGAGGCAGTGTCTAGTGCAAAGGCACTCAGAACTTTGTGGCCAAGGATGGATTTGGACCTGGGTCTCCCCATTCAAGGTCCAACACACTATCCCTGGGACCTGACTCACCAGAGACCTGACAACACTGTCCCCACATGCTTTTTGTAGCCTGCCCGGGGGCGGGGGGGCAGCTACACTCTATTGGACTGCTATCTTAGTAGCTGATGCAAGTGATGCATGTCTGTGCTAGTCAGTACACTCTACTGGTGCTTCAGACTAAAATACATGAAGTGAAGCAATAGGGCCATAGTCACACACTTTGATTTGCCCAATCAAGAGCAGCATTTATATGGGCATGCACTAGGCTATCTGAGCTGTACATCTGGGGAAGCCCTTGTGTAATAGGGGAACATTATTTAAAATAATCCACAGACAACATTACTAAAGCAGCCGACAATAACAGGTATGGGAGAACAGAATAGCTAGTGGTTAATAATCATGGAAAGTCTGCATCAAATTAGTTTATAACTGCATCCTTTACATTGATTGAGATTGGAAAAGTGAGAAACAATAGAAGGAAACATATTTCATCTTCATTCATCATTGTTTTAAGGGCAGGGAAAACAGCCATCATTATGTTAGCCCAAGATTCTGTTCAGACTCACATATGCAGCACTTGTTTTCTCTGCAATAGATTACATATGGTGACAGCTGACTGTGTGAACTGACTCTGCTGAAAATAATTATGTCTTAGGTGATACGAAAGTTCTGTCTGATGCAATGTATCTGTTCAGGTCTCTTCCTATATGCATGTCCATCACTTGATGTTACAGTCGCAAATGTGTGAACGAACCCCAATGATGAATGACAGTGTGCTTGATGAACTGGTGCCATCAAAAAGCATTATGTTTGAGTGGAGATAAAGTGATGTGAAAGTGCTGTGGTGTAAGAGCTGTGATAGGCCATTTATGCATGCACATCATCAAAGGATGGTGTAGCTAAGGCTGGGCCAAAAGCAGAGCGTTGTAGTTATTCTGCCTTTGACCTTGTAAAGAAAAACATTGCTGGCCCTGCAATGGGCAGCACACTGGCAGGCTTCTTCGCAGCATTGCCGTTGGGCTATTCACAGTGTGGAATGGTGCCAGGCTGGGGCTACTTAATATGGCTTTACTGCCACTGGAATTTGACACAAGGGTCTTTTTTTTTTCAAATTAAACCTAACTTCAACCTTCTGACACATTTTAGCAATCAGATAAGACCCCTTCCCCCCTAAATAAAGGGAAGCAAGGGACATTTTTCCAAGGCAAAAACCTTTGGTGCCCATTTTCACCCCCACAATCTCCTAAATTCTCTTCCTTTCTGAGTTAGTTTGTGTAAGCATTCACTGTATCCAGCAATTGCTGATTCTAAAATTGTGGGCCAGATATAGTAACATAAATTGGATAGGAAAGGAGTGGTGACCAGAGTCTCCCCATAAGGTATGTATGAATACATGAAGCAGCCTTAAACCAAGTCTGATCATCTAGCCCAGGGGTCAGCAACCTTTAACACCCAAAGAGCCATTTGGACCCATTTCCCACACAAAAGAAAACACCTGGAGCCGCAAAACCCTTTTGACATCTAAAATGAAGATAACACTGCATATATCGTTTTTTACCTTAATGCTATGTATATCTTCATTATGATTTAGCTGCAGCTCTTGTTCAGTCACTAAAAACTGTTATTTTTAATCTTACATTATAAACTAGTAGGACTCCTTTCATATAGGAGAACAGCTTCCTGAAGAGTCAAAGTCAGTGCTAAAGGGCTCCATGCATTAAACAGCAAACCCCATAAGTTTGTCAGCAGTAAAAGCAAATGAATCTACTCAAGTATCATTAAACGTTTGGTTTTCTTCAGAAACTTTTCTTCGATTTATCCAAGCGCTGTGCCAGCACAGACCGCGGACCGTCTGGCACAGGCCGTGGATTGGCTGGCAGCCGCGGATCGGCAAGCGGTGGCCGTGTCCCTGTGCCAGCACGGGCCACAGATTGGCCGGCGGCAGCTGTGATGCACGCAACGGAGCCACAGCAGAGGCATTCAGGAGCCACATGCGGCTCTGAAGCTGCGGGTTGCCGACCCCAGATCTAGCCCAAGTTTTCTGCACTGGTGTTTTCCAGCCCTGCTTCCTGAAAGACTTTAAGGTGGAGAGGGCATGGTTGAGCCTGTAAATTACATTATCTGCTTGCAATTCATTTAGTAATAACCTCACCTCAACTGAGATGTGCATAGCGGTGCTAAAAGTTCTGCTACAGATTTTCATATTGTGCAGATCATGCATATAATCCTAAATTTTGAGCAATGAACAAAAGGTGTTCAGTATTTTGTTTTTCAAACAAAAGAAAACTTCAGATGAGAATCTTTCCTCAGGTATTTAGAAAGTAACAAATTTAGAAAGTAACAAAAAGGGAGATCCTGTGCACGTTTAGACAGAAAAAGGCTGAACAACTCCAAGCTTTCCTCAGCTAACTGTGCAGGCTGAAGAATGCTGGGAATTGTAGGACTTATTTCTTTATATATAGGCAGATGTCCCTAGCCTTTTGGGACCAGCGCACACATGGGAGAACTGAGAAACCACTGTGGGCACTACCATGAAATGGCTCCCATGGAAGATAATGGTGCCTGCTTAGTCAAAAAGGTGATGCTGCAAGGCCAGAGGCTGAGAGGGAGGGGCCAGTAGCAAGGCAGAGGTGGGAGGGAGAGAAGGAGCAAGGCTGGAAGTGGTTGGGAAGGGAGGGAGAGAATGAGACAAGAGCCCAAATGGAGAGAAATAGTAAAGCTAGAGGCTGGAAGTGAAGAGAGAGACAGAGAGAGGACAAAGGGAAAATGTGTGAACAGAAGCTCATGCAGGGCCAGAAAGCAGTGCTTTTCTTCTCTTTCTGTCTGCTCAACAGGAGCAGGCCCAGAAACAGTCATCAAGAGTAGAGCTGGAAGGGGCCAATAAGGCCATTGGGCCCAACTGCTTATTCAGTGTAGGACTTCAGGTTAAAGCATCCTTCTCAGATGGCTGTCCAGTTGCATCTTGAATGCTTCCAGGGTGGGCAAGCCCACAAACTCCCTAGGTCATTGGTTCCATTGTCATATTGCTCTAACTGTCAGAAAGTCTTTACTTATGTCAGCAGGGATCTGAATTCCTGTAACTTAAGCCATTATTTTGTGTCCTGCACTGTGGGGTGGTCAAGAGAAATTAAGGCCCTCCTCTGTGGGACAACCTTTCAAGAACTCGAAGAACGCTGTCATAGCTCCCCTCAGTCTTCCCAAGGCTAAACCTGCCCAGTTCTTCCAGTTTCTCATAGGTTCTCTAGTCCCCTAATCTTCCTCATTGCTCCCCTCTGAATCCTTTCCAGCTAGAGCACATCTGTCTTAAACTGTTATGACCAGAATTTGATGCAGTATTCAAGATGAGGCCTAACCAGTGCTGAAGGACTTCATGTGTTTTGGAACTGATACTTCTGTTAATGTAGCCCAAGATAGTATGTATGTATTTCATTTTATACCATCCAATAGCCGAGGCTTTCTGGGTGGTTAACATTTGTCCTTTTTGCAGATAGATCACATTATTGACTCATATTCAGCTTGTCATCTACAAGCATTTCATGATCTTTCTTGCTTGTAGTATTTTTGACCCAGACATCAATTGCATCTTGTAACTTATGCATTTGGTTTCTTTTTCCTATGTGCAGAATTTGGCTTTCATCCCTATTTTCATATTGTGCATCCTAAATTTCATTCTGTTAGTTTCAGTCTAGCACTCCAACCTATCAAAATCACAAAAACAAAGTTTTTGAACTTTGTTTCTGTCTTCCAGGGTATTAGCTATCTGTCCCACCCAATTTTCTGTCATCTCAAAATTTGATAAGCATTTTCTGCACCTCCTTATTCAATCATTAATAAAAATGTTGAACAGCACTGTGCTCAAAGCTGAAGCCCGACATACCCCACTTGTTATTTCACCCCAATTTGAGAAGGTACCATTGATAGGTACCTGATAGTTGTTCCACCTAGCCCACTTTTAGCTAATTTGCTGTTCTGGTTGTCGTGAACTACTTGGTCAAAAGCTTTGCTAAAGTCAAGATATTTTTGTCCATAGCATCCCTACAGTCTGCAAAGATCAAAAAATGTGATCAGGTTAGTCTGGCAGGAGATGCTGGCAACCTAACTTTTCAAGTCTTATTTTTCTTAGGTTTTGAAAATGAGGGAATAAGAATATTGAAGCTGCACTGGAGACCACTATGTATAGGATTGTGCCCTAAGTAAGAATTTATTTGGGTACATAGGCCACAAGTTGGTTAAAAGCTATCTCTTATTTTTAGGCTCCAGCAGCCAGCAGGCCCTGCACAGCAGCAGTTCACACTCCACCTATTCTGAATTGTAAGCCAATTGAAAGTAAAATCCGAAAGAGTGTTCAACACTGTTGGAAAGATATACTGAAGGAATGCAGAGCAAAGGATACTGACCGCCTGGGAGAAGTCTCAGTAGAAGATATGCTTGGTAGGTCATTTAAATTTTCATCAGAAATAGAATAGATCCCACCACTATTCTCGAATCTACAGTTCCTTGCTTGGGTGTTATGGCAGCTATACAGATTTGAAACAGGTTATCTTTTGAAACATAGCATGCCATAAATCTTTCCTGCCTTTGTATTGTTCCTCGAGTGTCCCACACTGACTGCTTCAAACCCTCACCACTAGTCAGTTTCAAATTTTGTGAAATGCCAGAGAAGACATTAATCTCATACATGGATATATATGCAGAATGTGAACTTGCCTATATCTGCATGGTCAAGAGAGGAATGCCTTTAAAGGGCTAATCAGAACTAGTTCACATCAAGGAGTTATCGGGGATTCTCTGGGATTATGGGTGCCTTTCAGGTGTCAAGGGGTGCTGGTACTTTAGGCCCACAACTCTTACAGGCTCAGTCTTCTGAGCACAGATGGGAGCTGCTTCTTGCTGTGTAATTCCACATGTACAGGCCCTCATCCATATATGATGAGGTTGTGCTTTGCAATCAGAAAATGGTTCTTCTATTGTCATTACTTGACTTAGATCAGGAAGTAGAAGTGGGAATATGTTTTCATAGTCATGCATCAGACCAGAAGGAGATTCTGACATATCCTTCCTGTATGTGTGTGTGTGAATAAAAGTATTTTAAGACAGAAGGAAACAGTGTGGAAAGTACTGAAGGAGGCAGTCCCATTATTAATTAATATGTAAAGAATATGATTGCCACCATCAGTACTTTTTGCACTGAATTGCCTTCTGATTTTGCTGATCTTCCCCCTTCACCACCTGCATTATATAGTATATAATATACCCCCCCAACAAAAAACCTCTCCATAATTTGCAGTGTATCAGATACAGTGAACTGTAATCTAGGGTGGTCTCTGCCAGAGTAAATATGATCATCTTTAAAGCTGCACAAGATACTTTGCTATACTTCAAGCATGTGCATTTTTGAACTGGCCCTGTTGTTGATTAATGCTCTACTGTTCATGTGACTGTGATAATGGATGTCAATACTGTTAATCTGGTTATTCTGCAGAAGCCCTGACTAGCCTTCCACATTGTCCAAAATTAATTGTCACTTGATACACACTTTTGAAGAATGCTTATTTATCAAGTCTTTTATTCAGTTTGTCTGTGTTTTTCAGCTATACTAGAGAAATTTCATTTGGATTTGACCAAAGAAGAAATAAATCAACTTATAATGAAATACGATTTTAAGAGTGTTGGAAAATTTTCATACTGTGACTTCCTTCAGAGCTGTGTGCTGAGGTTTAAACATCAAGAAGTGTCTCCTATGCAAAGGGTTGTAATCCAAAATCCACGAGTTCAGGTAAATATCCTTTGGGTAATGGAAGAGATTCAGATGTCAAAGAAGTCTGTATCTGGAGGTGATTTTGAAGGTAGACAAAGGTAGATCCAGGGCAATTCTGCCCTGACAGTTGATACAATCCTGCATTTTCTTCCTATCAGCACTTCCATGGACCATGCTTGGTGTTCACATGCAACAAGCTGTTGTGCAGAACATAACTGGGATGTTTTTCTTCATCTGTTGTACATAGTTTTCATACCCTTAGAATGTAGCTTATTGGTGGAGAAATTGTAGTTTCTCAACATGGAGACTACAATATTTTAATATTGGAGGAAATGTGATATTTGCCTCCAATTTTAAAAAAAAATATGGAAGTTTCCTTATCAGTTAGATAAAATCAACATACTACAACTCATATGCATTTCAAACAGTTGTAATGATAACATATTCAAAATATCAGCAGAATACAATCCATACCTTTTGTTCTAACATGGCACATTTTTTACTAATTCTCACAAAAAATATTTTGCACAACTGTTACCTTCTTCTCAAAGTTAACAGCTCTTCTCTCTTCCACCTGCTCATCTTTGCTAAGTGGTATATATACTTCTGTGGATGTAGCTTTCTTTTCTAGGATCAGGGTGGGCGCTGAAACCACACCTGAGCAGGAGCCCCACACCCAGTCCCTGGAGTCTCCTAGCTCCCCGTTTCCCTCCTTGTTATTGCTGCCTGCTTAACTTTCCAAGTGAACATGCAGTGAGAGTAATAAGGACAAGAAACAGGAACTTCTGCATGCCACATCTTCTTCCTCTGCATGTGGTGCAGGTAGGGCCCAAAGGAAGAGACAAGCAAATAGCAAAGTGGGCTGGGTGACAAAATCCCTTTTTCCAAAGTAAGAGAGTCGTACATGGGCAAGGTCTCTTGGCCTGAGTCTGAAGATTCTGGGGGCAGGGGGAACTCTACAAAAGAGACCCATAACAAAGCATCAGAGAGGTTTCTGTGCTAAAGGACTGCTTTGAATAGTTGTGGGGAATGAGGAGGTAGAAGTGAAGCAGATTCAGCCAGTTCTGGCAGGAGCTTCAGAACAGGGGGCAGATCTTGGAAAGGAAGGTGCCCAAGCCTCCACAGGATGATGAACATTAGGCTCACACCTTCCTACCACTTATTTTAGATTCACTGCTGACATACACAAAGATTCTGTACTAAATTACCCTCACTGGTACTCATTGATAGGTAACTGTATTGGAAGAGCAGACTATCTTTAAATCTAAGTAAGTGGCTTGCATGCACATCTTGTTATGCCAGACATATAAGAATATGAAGTATATACAACAATGACAACTTTTTTTCCTGTTTCACCAACTTTCTGCCCTTTTCCTTTAAGATCAGGTTTAAATAATGGCTATAAGGTTTTCTTTCCATGACCCCAAAAGCTGTGCCTGCTGATTACTGAATAACAAAGCTGCTGTTAAAGACATTGGATAAGGCCAGGTTACTTCTTTTGGCCAGTGCCTCACCTTATTTCATTTTTCAGAAGTAGTTTCATTTTGAAGTATTTCATTTTGCTCAGCCTGAGTATCTGAGTTCCTCTGAGAGATTCAGAGCTTCTGTTCCTGGAGAAGAGCAATAGGGCCTCACCCCAGTGGTCATGCTTGAACTAGCACCACCCCTTGGCACAGGCACAGGATACTTGCATCAGGAGAGCCTGACCATGAGCCAGCTTCATTGTAATTCAGAGCAACATTTCCCCCCATCTTTGACAGAATTCTCCTGGGCCACAATCACCAACCTTTTTCAATGCAATGATGAGGATTCAGCCCCAGATTCTGCACTGCTGGAGGCCAATGAGAAGAACTTTTAAGCATTATGATGAAAGTGGGAGTGGACTCCTAAGCGTGCAGGATTTCAGACAGGTAATGATTTTTTAACCACTTCCATTGCATTCATTGTTTAGCTCTTAAACACCTTGAGTCAGGGAGGCACAGGGAACTCAGGTCTCTTTATGAATCTCTTATGCCCTTTGTTAACAAGACAGAACCTTAGTCTGGATTGTGGATTTCCAGAAAGTGACTTGAAAAAGCATGGAATTTTTGCGTTGCTCCCTCCAGGGAGAGCAAAATAAACTACCTTATTTTTGGCATTTTATGAGGCAAAGAAATGTATTTTTACTCCATAAACCATTCCGTGGGATGGCTACTTTGTTATGCTTGGCTTGCCTTATTGGTTTAATTTGGGGCTGAGCAACCCTTTTTCTACTGTAGGCCACATTCCCCTTTGGATCATCTGTTGTAAGCTGCATGTCAGCAATGAGTGGGGAGGGTGGGTCACCCCTTCCTCTTTCACTCTCAGCCACCCTCTTTTCTTCCTCAGCATGCAGTGGCTCGCCAGAGCGGCATCTGGACTTGCTTGCCAGGTTTGATCACTCGGGCCTGAACAGATTGCATGCAGAGTGCTCTTGAAAATAGGTGGTGGACTGTTAGAGGTTCACAGGTTGCCCACCCCTAGTTTAATTCATGGTTTTGACGTGATGTCTTTATTATTTTAATTGTATGTTTTATGTAAGCCACTTCAAGGATCTTTTGGAACAAAGGACTGTGTATATATATGACATAAAATAAATCTGCAAGCATACAACCAACAAATCAGTTTCACCAGAAAGCTAAAGAGGACTGGCCACTGGTCAGTCAAACTGCTGGGCCACAAAGTGAATTCTAGCAGGTGCAGCTTTCCTTTCCCTATGCAGCCAGTGGCATCTGCCAAAGTTTCTTTTCTGTGCAGTTGTCTACCAGACTTTGCCTCTGGTTGCCCCATGGTATTGCTCTGTTTCTCCTCTTTATTTGGGACATAATGTATGCCTCTTACTAAAGGCAGATGAGTGTTTTAACAGTGCTAAAACAGCTCTTTATTATTAAGTAAATATTGTGAGAACTATATTGAATTATTCCTTCACACCTACTTAAGTGGAATGCAGATTCTCAAAATGGAAAGGGAGAGGCCACAGCTTGGACTAATAATGCTTACATCCCATGGTGTGCCTTGATCATGGTGGCCGTGGGCTTCCTGATGGGAGCTCACAGGGAGGGAGCTGCCTCCTGCACCCAGTTTGTGTTGCACATCAACAGGCACAGGTAGTCGGGACACATGCATACCTCATCTAAATTCCTTTCCCAAAGCAGATTGTTCCTCATACTCCAAATTGGACTTCAGTGGTCACAAAAGAAAGCCTTAAGATCACAAGTTATTATGTGACCCAAAATTATTTCATAGATTTATTTGTCTAACTTTAATAATAATTTTTCTAGGGAGGTTCACAAAAAGTACAAATAAAATGTTGAAGTCAGAAATGCAATAAAGCAGCAAACTTTTTTTCAAGCAGATTAAAATGGGGGTATCAAATGCTTTTAAAAACCCTGGGAAACAAAAGGTTCTCTAATCAGTTTTCATAAAAAGGGAGAAAAGCCTCACCAGGGAAAAATTCTCACATGCAGGGTGTCATGACAAACAAGGCCTGGTCCCTAGCCATCACATGCCTTTCCTTAGATGATGGAGAAACTAGAGCAATCTCAGTGTACCTCCAGCAGCCAATTTACAGAAGGTGTAGATATTTCAACATAAATGGTGCTTAGAAATGAATGAAGTGAAGCAAGATACATTCCTGGTGACCTGTTCCCTTTAGTAATCAGGTAGAAGGTATGCAGTCTCCTGAAAGACATCATGAAACTAACATTTGCTTCACCAGAAGTTACACAGAAAGAAAGACAAACAATAGAATGGACTGAGAACATGCATCAGTACCAATGTTTTAACTGATCATCTAAAAACAATAAGAGAGTCTTTATCTTTACAATCAAAGTTTCAACTATTGCCTAAGAGGTCTCCTAGCATCTAATGTCAAAACTACTGGCAACCTGGCTGCACACAGGGGTGAAGACAGATCAGGTAGAACAACAGTACAATCTGCCTATTTGTGGCAGAACCTGGAGAAACATGCCAGGTTAGGGGTGGCATGAGAGCAGCATCTACGGAACTGCAGGAGGAGCTGGGCAGAACCTAGGATTTTCTTGACCTTTCAGGACTTCAGTACCAGCTCTCTTGCAGAATGAGCTCTGGCATGTAGGGCTACAAATCCTGTGCGACACGTTCCCCATGCTCTACCCTTCTTTTACCTTTTTTAGCCTTCAGTGCAATGTACCAATCCAACTTGTTGTGTTGGGTAAATCCAATTCACAAATTAGCCCATGTTCTTGATGGGAAGGATGCAGAAGCAGCAACTGTAGAGCCATGTTGCCATGGGAACTTTGTGGAGAAAATAACTTCAGATATTCTGAAAGTTTGAGGGGCTGCATGAGGTGATTGCTTAAATGAATTGGGCAGAAGTTTCAGTAGTTTGTTGGTTGCCTGCTGCTAACTTTCCTGGATGATTCCTAATTAAAGATAAGTAATGTGTCAGTTTTCTGTGTATTCTGCAGGTGCTCCGAAAGTATGGCATCAACCTGTCTGAAGAGGAGTTCTTTCATATCCTGGAATATTATGACAAAACATTAACTTCCAAAATCTCCTACAATGAATTCCTCAGAGCATTCCTGCAGTAGAAAAAGGAAGACTACATCCAATCTTGAAGAATCATTAGGCAAGAGAGATGTGATTACTGAAATATAGTTCCTCATTTGGAATTAATAAAACTATATAAATTCAGCCTCTTGGTTAACAGTTCATCAAGAATCTTATAATGCTGACACATCGCAAATTGTGTTGGTGTCTGGTGAAGTAAATCTTCAATAGTTGGGGCTATTAATTTTCTCATAATCCATTTAACTGAGAAAAGAGAAAACAATTAAAGTGGTTACAGTGATGGTTTTGAGGCTTTTAATTGGCATCTCACAATGCAATAACTTTCTTTTTTCAATTAAAGTATTATTAAGAAAAGAAACTTTTAATTTACATTTTTAAAAGCACACTGATCTGTTTTGTTCGCTGCAGTTTCCCAAATAGGTTATATCAGTGTTCAAAAACTGGTACCTTGGAATATAATGCCTATAGTGCCTACAGTACAGCAGAATGAGGTGTGCTTAAGTGCACTGAAATCTTAGGGTCTCTGTCCTGATATGTAAAGGCCAAGAGTCTTCAAAATTCAGACATATTACAGAACCCTTCTAAAATGCAAGCCGGGAGTGAAATGCCTACGCCAGCATGGAAAGGGAGGGGAGGGGAGGGGAAAAGGAAGGACCATGTGAACCAGACAGTAATTCACAGTTTCATAAACCAAGCTTTGTGAAGCTGGAAAGGAAAGTCCAAATGTAGGTAATCTCATGGTGGTATGTGTGGTAAGTGATGCTAATCACTTTAATATAGGATGTTATTGCTGTAGGAAGTTTGCTTTGGTCAGTGCAGTTATAGATGGTTTTGATCTTTGGTCCAGCCCATAGAGATGTTAGCAACGTGGGTGTATGGCTATCCCATTCTGTCAAGACTGGGCATCTTCCAGAAAGGTTCGAAGACCATATTAGATAGTCTTAGTTGTTTTGGTAATTTTGTGGGATATGACTTTTGGAAAATGTCTTTTTAAGTCCCACAAAATTAGCTTTTTATTTTAATTTTCACTTTCAGGTTAGCCAGATTTAAAACTTTGCTATAGAACTGCTCACACACTCAGTGTTTAATATGGAATTGCCATGCTTGGCTCACTCCTCTTTTGCACATGAGTGCAACGTCCAGTAATGATACAGTAATCACAACATTGCTTTCCTGTGGATTCCCTGTGATTTTGCCACTTTTTCTCAGGCAGGGATATTTCCAGATGGAGGGCTCAGAGCACTAGCTGTTAGAAGGCACTGTGCAGATGTTCCATTTTTCTCCTTAATGGAGTTTCTGCACTACGGGAAAGAATGGAAGCAGTGAGATTAGAGGACATCATGAGTAGATGTGGGTGTCTAGATCTCCATAGATTTCAGTGAATGAGACTTAGCCCCAGCCCCAGAAAGGATGTCTCCTTTCAAAATGGCAAAAAAAACCCACTATTAGCTCCAGAGGGAGGGATGCTGTTAGCATCACTCATCCAACCTTTGTAAGAAGTTTGTTTTCAATGTGTGCAGTGACTTTAAGCCAGTGTCCCCCAATCTGGTGTCTTCCAGATAGTTGGGACTTCACCCCGCGTAAGCCCCAGTCAGGAATTCTCAGGGCACCAGGTCGGGGTAGGCTGCTTTAAGGGGTCAAGCCCTATCACCAGGCTACGCCTGTGAATGGAACAGAGCAGGATGTACACGTGAAAAACTAAACCACACTGCGCTCCTGTGTGTTAACACTGAGTGGGAGAACAGTGCTTTTGTAGTTCTAGGAACTCACTGTCTGGAATTCACTGAGTCTAATGTGTGGAGGGAAAATATTTTATCCTCTTTAGAAAAGGAAAGGAAGTGTGCATGAATCCACAGATCAGGCTACATAATACTGTATTAGTAGTTATTTATTTAAATATGCAGCCCTTCATTATCAAATCACAGGGTGATATACAAAATTCATTAAAACAACAAAATAAAATACAAAGATACAAACAAAGAAAACAAAAAATCTAGTAAGTAAAATCATGGGCTGCCTGAGTAAACAGATGGGTTTTCAACGGGTGCTGAAAAGCCACTGAGAATTTCTGATTAGAATTAAAATTCTGAACATTAATAAAAGCTTTTAAAATCCTTGTAACCTTTTATGTTTAATCCTCATCTGAAAACAGCTCTCAAGTTTTTCCCTTTCAAATCATTTCTAATATTTTTTGGTCTCAGTGAAATGCTGCCCTTTAAGTGCAGTGTGCTCATTTTATGTTATGGGATTAAACACAGTGATAAAATAATTAATATACCAATCTCAATTATTCATTGCAATCAAAACAAGATCCATTTTTAACTGCTACTACTACTACTACCCCATATTTATAGCCACTGTGTGGAGAACGAAAACCCTTTTTGTCATTACTAACAAGGAGAAATACAACGTAGCAATTCTCTCTCTCTCTCTCTCTCTCTCTCTCTCTCTCTCTCTCTCTCTCTCTCTCTCTCTCTTTCTCTCTTTCTCTCTCTCTCTTCCATTGGGAATGCAATAATTAGATCAGATGAAAGAAGTGAACAACACCTCCCCACGTACACTTCCCCATTCTCTGCACTCCATTATGCTAGGTCTTGCAGCTACCGTAATTCTGCAAGACATACCGCAGCTACCAACAGTTGTCAGGATAGCAGTACTTGTTCCTTTCTTCCAATTGTCTTCAGGAGATCAGCTGTCGTAAGAAGAAACAACACTGTGGGGGGAAGGAAGGCAGGTATCTCAGGATTTCTTAACAGAGCATATTTTTCATTAGTACTACTGGCAGGAGGACTTGACTCAACAACTCCAAAGAGATTCCAGAACAATCTTTTTGCTGTAAAAACAAAACATGCAGTGTTAAAGAAAGAGAAGGAGAATCCCTTCTTTAAAAGAATGGATAGCAATTGCCAAACTGTTTTTTTTTTTTAAATCCAGCCTTGAGGGTGGAAATACTCACTGTCAAGTGACAGCATTTCTGAATTATCTTGGATGATGTAGAAAACACCCACTGTTTATACGTTTTATAAATCAGAAGTGACTACATGGTAGAGGGACTTAAGGAGTCACTGCTTCCTTTATATTGAGTTCGGACACTGAACACAGTAGAATGAAGATGTCCTCTTTGCAAAGTATGGAAGGTTAATGGAAAATTTGCCCAAATGCCCTGCCAATCATTATAGTATAGTGTTACTATACAGGTTTTTTTCTGTTGGTTACACACAACAGGTTCTGTCTGGTTAATCATCTGCTAATACTGTCTGAAAGTTTTCCAACTTTTTTGTAAAAAAAAAGTCTCTGGATGGGGGCAAATAGACTGAGATTCTGGTGCTTCAAGTCAGGGGAAGGGGTCCTGCAAGGGCTGGAGGGCCCTTGCTAAAAGTGCTACCACTGGAAATGGGAAAAAAAATGAATTTTAGCCCCGGCACCAGTTACCTGATACAACATGGATTTTCCTGGTTTTTGGGGCAGGAGGGGCAAGGGTCTGGCTAGTAGGCAACAAAATGAAGTCTCAGAGAATGGAAAATGGTATTAGAAGAATGGAAATGGGGGCAGGTAGTGGGTAAGTTTGCTGAGTCCAACATTATAGAACTACTCTACACATTTCACAGACTAATGTGGAAGAAATTTTGTCTGTACCACTTTAGACTACAGGTGGAGATCATAGTTTTGAATACTTTCCTAAGTTTGGTATTTTCAAACTGTCTTCAGGTACTAAACTAACACACAGGAAGAAGAAATGTATCATTGTAGTACACATGAAAGCACTCAAAATGTGACTTCTTATCTGGAATTGTATTCATTCTGCATATTGCATACAACATCTCTTAGGCTCTTATATTCCTCTGGATGAAATATAAAGCTGACTCATAGGCTGCTTTGAAGTGTTGAAGGGCAAGACACAGATGTGCTATATAGTGCTTGCAGTTTTCCATTGTATATATCAAAAGGAGTTAAGAAAAGTTAAATTAACTCAGGGACTGGCTTGATTCTCTCTCTCTCTCTCTCTCTCTCTCTCTCTCTCTCTCTCTCTCTCTCTCTCTCACACACACACACACACACACACACACACACACACACACACACACTGCATTGTTCTATCGCAGACGTATCCCACCCTTTATCCAAGGAGCATCTTCCTGGTGGTATACATGAGTTTGTTGTGTGATAATTTACCCTCACATACAATGAAGAAACAAAGATTGGTCCTATGTTACTTAGTGACATTTATGCCTGAATGGGAATTTGAACCCAAGACTTCCTCAACAAAGTTAGACACCTGCTGGCTCTTGTCCTGCACTGAAGAGTCACAGCTGGATGAACAAATTCCATTATTGGAAGGGTGAATGTGAAAGATTTATGCCTGATGATTCATCTGTGCAGTAGCATGGTCAGGCAGGACTCTGGGGCAGAAGTGCAAGAACACCTCCCGGATAACCACAGAGCTAGAATGCCACATGCAGAAGTGCCTGTTAATGTACTTTACCATCTTCAAGTGAGGGTTGACTAAGACCATTGAGATCATCAGCTATAATTATCTAATTGCACCACTGGGGGGGAAGTGGCAAGTCCTCCTCTAGACCCAAGGTGCAGGGACCAGCCCTCTGAAAACATGAGCATGTTATAAAACACTTCATAAATCCTCAGCATGAAGTGTAATTCAGCCACCCCAGAAAGAGCAGGAATGGAATTTATGATGTTCCAGCCCTGAAAATGCTCTCTAGAGTAGCCCCATTGACTTTAACTGGGATTTGTGGCCTCTGGATCATAGCCCTGGTCATTGTTTACCAATATATTCAATTACAGCAAACTTCTCCAGTGCCCACTTCTCTCTTTAGGGTTCAGGCACCACTTAAACTGCAAAGTGAGACACTCATTTGTCTGCTTGGCCTCCTTAATAGCAAAGGAGCCCACTGTTTCCAATTCAGTGCGTGTTTGAGGCAAAGATTTTTCAGGAGGTAGGCAAGATTCAGTGCAAGGTTCAAAAGACTGCCATTAGCTATGTGCAATATTAAGTTACAGGAGCATAGCATATTCTGAGAACACTGGTTGAAGCTACTTT